TCTTCAAAAAATTGAATTATACAAAAGTCTCAAAAAGTTTTAAAATGAAAATTTATAAGTTTACAAAAGACTTCTACTAATTCCATACAAATCTCTAAAAAAATCCACAAAATCTATAAAAGTCATCACTTAAAAAAAGTCTATCAAAGTCTTCAAAAATCTCAATTGAATACATTCCCTTAGACTCCTCCAATTTAAAGCTTGTTTGGGAAGTTTTATAAGATATTTAAATTATAAGTTAATAAAAATGAATGGTGGATAAGTATGGGTGATTGACTTATTTAGGAGAATTAAAGTAAACAAAGAGTTTTGGAGAATTAAAGTACACAACTTCTAAATTCTATAATCTACCTGGGTCTGATATGCCTCATTATAGAGATAAACAAAAATAAGTTATTATTTAGAGTTTGTTTGTGAGTGATTTTAATCCAATTAAAATTGAAAATATAGTCGTTATTGGGTCCCACCCGTCTAATAAAAGTCAACAATAACGACTATATTTTCAATTTTAATCCGATTTTAATCCCTCTCAAATAAGCTTTTAGAGCTTGTTTGGTACAGATTCTCATTTTCTACAGTAAATCAATTCTCATTTTCAACCACACATTTTTCAATAAAATAATATTTTCCGTCACATCAATACTTTTTTCTTATTTTTCAATCACACATTTCCCATCATATCACTATTCAAAAATCAATTTTTCTCCCAGAAATCCCTACCAAACACACTCTTAATCTTTATCTCTAACATCGGAAACAGTTTACAAGCAATGGTTTACTACAATTCATTTGTCTGTTTAATAGGCCATTATTTTCCATGAAAAACAAATTTCAACTTTCATTTTTGCCTTATTTGATACATTTTCTTTTCCATGGAAATTTTTTCCTTGAATTAACTCACATGTTCACATTTTTCTTGATTTTGTGGAAAATCAATTTCTACCATTATCCAGCCTTTTTTTTTGGCCACGGGAAAATTTTTTAGACATAAATGCACAATCTTCCCTGCATGAAAGCCAAGTGTAAATCCTCAAATGCCTCTGATTTTCATGCTTTCTTCCTTGTCTTTTGAGTTTTGTGTAAAAATAGATATGCTGTGCTGGACTGGATCCACAATTACTATATATATGTAAACAGATATCTTCAGCACTAATTTTGGTTTACTGCATAATCAAGATGCTCTTTGTCACTTTACTCAGATATTCTTAATTAATCATTTCGACTTTCAATTTTGTCCATCAATAAGACCCTCCTCCTATTCCCCCGTACACTAACTACACCAATTCCACTTTTCCCCGCCCTGCGCCACCAATCTGGCGGCTGACCAGGAGACATCATGCTGTCACCCACCCCGATTTCGCTCCTTTGTGCTCTTCTTCTTTGCTTACCTCTTGCCATAGTCTTCACTTTGACCACCCCTTCCTCCACCACCACCGTCCCAACAACTGGTGGCGCCACCTCTTCTTCCTTCCCCACTACTAATAGTGTCACTTTCAGTAAGAACATAACTGCAAGAAATCTACTACCCAGGTTTCCAGGAAAAACCAAAACCACACAAAAACCCCAAATCAAGAACGCCACCATCGCCACCATTTCACCACCACCAGGGCCACCATCTGGGCAAGGGCATCCACCTTCGCATGTAAATAATAATGAAGATGATGATTATTCACTGTTCCAAGTCGCTTCCCGGGTCAACCCGAAACCGAAGAAGCCAATCAAGAAAATAGCGTTTATGTTCTTGACTAAAACCCCCCTTCCCTTTGCACCCCTCTGGGAACTCTTCTTCAACAACGCACCCAAGAATCTGTACAACATTTACGTGCACGCAGACCCGAGTTTCAACTACACGCCACCGTTCAGCGGAGTGTTTCGCCGCCGAGTTATCCAATCCAAGCCAACGCGCCGCCACTCCCCAACCCTCATCTCCGCTGCCCGCCGGCTTCTCGCTCACGCGCTTCTCCACGACAAGTCAAATTACATGTTCGCCCTGCTTTCTCCCGCTTGCATTCCCTTACATTCCTTCAATTTCACGTACAGAACTTTAATCAAGTCAAGGAAGAGCTTTATAGAAATTCTCCAAAACGAGGACGGCGCGTACGATAGATGGGCGGCGCGTGGTGAAAGCGTTATGATTCCTGAAGTGAGGTTTGAGGATTTCCGAATTGGGTCCCAATTTTGGGTGATAAAGCGTAAACACGCTAGGATATCTGTGCGTGACCGGAGGTTGTGGTCGAAATTCAAGCTACCTTGTCTAGAAGCCTCCACGTGTTACCCTGAAGAGCATTATTTCCCTACGCTGCTGAACATGGTGGACTCGCGGGGTATTATTCCCTGCACCCTCACGCACGTGGACTGGGAAGGCAGCTATGAGGGCCACCCCCGGATGTACGAGCCTAACGAGGTGGACTTAGAGTTGATCATGGCCCTCCGTAAGCACACGCCTAGGTACGGTGATGATGAGTCAAACGGCTCAAATTCGTCTCTGATGAAACGGCACGATCCATTCTTGTTTGCTCGGAAATTCGCGCCCGGTTCAGTTCACCCTTTGATGAGAATAGCCAATAACATCGTTTTATAAGATTGAGATTTGGGAGAGTGTTTTCTTAATTTTTGTTAATCTTGTAAGTAATTGTATAAATTTTTGTAAGCAAAAGGCGGGACAAACCCGTACTTTTGCCTCTAAGCTTTCGGTTTTGCCATCATTGAGAAAACTTTTTTTAAAAATGAATTTGATAAATTTTTACATTGGAATGAATTAAAGTGGATTCTAATGAAGTGCTTTTTCAATTGTTTTGAAGTATGATTTTAGCACCTTGGATGACGATTAAGTGTGTGATAAAAAATGAGTGGATGAAGGAGTTGATTATTCTTTAAATAATCCAATGACATAATATCTTATGTCATTCTATCATCGAAGGTGTTAAATCATCTGACGGCCATATAGAATTGTTTTTTAAGTATTTATCCCCTTTTAAGTTAGAGTAATTTAACTTGTATATCAAGATTTACAGATTTATGTGAGAATGATGACATGAAGGAGAAAAGCCATAGAAGGGAAAAAAAATGAAAATAAGTAAGAAGTCCGTTTATATAATCCACATCATCATTTTGTAAATCTATAAATGATCATGATGTACAAATAATATTATAATGGGTTATGTGATACAGCGAGATTTTTCATTGTGTGATTTCCCTACAACAATTGAACAAATATTTTGAAAATATTTTTGTCAAATTCAAGAAAATATACTAAACAAATGAAACTCTTACAACAAATAGTAGGAAATGCTTGACCCAGTGACAAGCAAACATAATACATCTTCAAACAGCATTTATTAACTTAAGAAAATACAGTTATGTACAACATCACAAGTTGCCAAATTACACTACTAATTCCTTAAAGCTTTGCCACCTGAATTAAGTCTTTTTGACAGAGTAAGTGAGCACTTCAAGTTTTCATATGTCGATCTTCACAAAATATAGCATCTTATATACGACGTAAGATGTTCAACCTTTCGTTGGAGAGTCAGTATGAACTAGCGTGTGCTTTGGCTCCTTCTTTGCTCGCCAGAGGTAGAAAATGGCGGATATAATGAGTAACCCTGCAGCACATCCAATAGTAATTCCAAGAATTCTCCCCACCTTTTTCTTGTTGCTCTTGGATGAACCATCAATATTAGACACTGCAAAATTTAGAAAAGATGAACACAATCAGCCCCTGATATCGGAAACTATTCAAATCTTCATTAAATTATCGTCCCGTGTGCCCTATGAAAAAAAGCCTCACTTTAACATTGTGAGCATCGGCTGAAATTGGGAAACAAAATCTAGCTTCATAAAGTTGAACATGTGAGGATCACATGATGATTTAACAGAGACTTGGAAGGTTTCGTCATTGGACAAACTTGTTACTATGGCGGTTGGGGACCAAAAGTGCAAATTTCCAAAAAAATGAAGAAACGGACGAAGAAAACAGTTATGATTTTTAAACCTTGTGTAACATGAATAGCTGACACTAAAGGACCAAATGTGCTTTGGAATGGAATGCAGCAAGTGCCTCTTCCAGCCCAGTAGAAATGAATGTCCAAAAACGTGTTTGTCACATTTGCCTCAAATGACTTGATCAAGGCTTTCTTAGATCCACCGGCTACATTTACGATATTGAAATCTTCGAGAACTTTTTCGCCCTGCATTAGTTGTAGAAAATGTTGAGGTTGCAAAGTTGTAAACGCATGACAAGGAATTCAAAGCTTGGAAAGGAATTAGAAGTGGCGGCATATAATTGAAGTGCTTGAGTGTAGTTTTTGTTTATCTGTTTTCAAATAAGTCAATAACCTGAATGTAAACATCAAACACACGTCGCCCTAGACCTTTCCAAGAATGTGAATCATCCATTTGTATCTCAGCAAAGTGAAGTTCAACTAGATACTTCCCACTGTCCAATCCAAGGCCGTAGTACCTTAATGAACTCGGTGCTATTCTAGCTGTTTTATAGAGTTCAGAATCCAATGTGTTTGTGATTTGAGAATCTGTCTGCGTGATATATCTAGGTCCGTTCGGGTTGGAAATGTAAACCCCCGAGCTGCTAAGGGACCACTGACTGTTAGCACTTGAGTACAGTGAGGCAGCACCGAGCAGTTCTGAATCATCATCAAATTGGATGCCATCTGCAGACGCTAGTTTTGTGCCTCCACAGTTGATGGAAAATGATTCTACATAAAAATAAACAAAAAGTTACATATTTTCCAACAATCAGCTTGAACACAAGTTTCTCCTCTCTTTTCCACACACCTGAATTTGAATGTTAAACCTTTTAAACGAAAAAAGCTTTGCCATATCAAATGTCATTTCGAAGTAAGAAGCTATAATTTTCTAGCATTAGTTGAGCATAAAAATTATCTGAGAAAATTTCAAAATGAAACCGAGGTTGAACCTAAACAACCGTACTTTACAAAAATTTGCAACAGAAGTTTTACACTCGTAGAAAACTCAACAAAAATCGATGCATTATTGATGATATTAAGTAACCAATTACATCCTAATTATGGTTTGAGACAGTAAACATCCAATGTCATCAATAAATGACTCAATTTTCATCAATGACCCCATACCATAGGCAAACAAATTGTTCCTTATGTTAAAGGAAAACATGTTAAAAACGAAGAAAAACTGTGCCCAATTTATTGGCTACGAAAAAATCGTGTACTTACTGGATGGAAATTTAGTACTGCACTTCGTATTTCCTTGAAGACACTGTAACATGGAAGAAGCCTTCCTGCATTAACTAACCAGGGTTTAGTCAAACGGTTACCATAAAAATTCAGTAAACAGTTGTTAGAGAGTAATGTCTTTAATTACATCATTTCTGGATTCATTTTGAAGAAGCATTAAATGCGGAGTGAACAAAACAGTCAAGTGGCTGGTTATGACATGATACAATGAACAAAAGAGTCAAGTGGCTGGTTATGGCATGATACAATGAACAAAACACATCCCTAAGAAGTCTTCTACGAATAGATCACTGATAAGAATGAAACAAAATGGAAGTAGCTAAATTTCTACATAATTGTAAGTTTATTATTCTTATTGATATGATTAGTTGTTCTAGGAATATAACTTCTATTTCATTTAATTTCAGCCACATAATTTTCTAACATGAGATCATGTGTAAAGAACATGTTGAAGTGTCTATAGAGGATTTTAAGTCTAGAAAGACTCTACTTCAATTGTTAACTCGGTTGCCTGATATTAGAGACGACTTACCCATTATTCAAATTATTGTCGTTAATGGCAGTTCCAACCACATTCCTGCAAGCAAGGAAGAGAGTTTTAGCCAATGAAGTGCCCCCACTTGATAAATATTTAAGTCATTACCAATCTCGCAAAAAAGAATTGAACTTACATGGATAGATCATTCCGATGTAGCAGTGAATTTCCAGAGAGAGAATTGAAAGATACATCTCTGCAAAAATTTAGATTTTGAGTCAAGCAAGTGTATGTAAATCAGGCAAAAGGCTGGCTAACAGCTAAAAGAGGGAGAAAGCATTGAGCAGAATTCTGTGATGGCTTCATAAAATCCTGGAGTTTCTCATTTAAGCAGACTAGAATCCATAAAGACGGAGATACAACACATATTATTTCACTTAAGTATTTAATTAAACTACTACTAGTGCTACCAAAAAAAACCTACGCTTGATACTGATTTTCTCACGGTTGAATAGAGTACCTCTTTTTTATAACAGGCTATACAATTATAGCAATGGACTTCTTCATATTGCTAACTTTAATGGCTTTCTGACTTAAGTACTTTTAAAAGGGACTCAGTAAATCAAGCGTCTTAAAGGAACACTAATATCAATGGTTTTCTCTAAAAGTAATATTTTTAAAGAAGTATTTTTCATTTTGATTAAAAATACAAATTCACATACCTTATGGATGCTAAAAAGCCAATATTTCGAAAATCCAGATCACAGTTAACATTATTCAAGGTTTAGAAGCTGTTACCTTTTCCAATTTTATGCTTTTCCATTAAGTAAAAATATACTACAAATAAGAGTTCCTTTATTTTTTTTTGTTTCCGAATATGCCCAAAGAGAAGAATGTGGAAGGACTTAGGGGGTCTATTCAAACCAATTCAAAGTTCAGGGCTTACAAGGCGATGAGTTTTGAACTTATAACGTCTGGAGTCAAATCCCCATTCAGATTATTGCTTCCAAGATATCTGAAATGCAGACAACAACAGAGAGGCGATGATCAAGCCATATTGAAAGACTGGATCAATGTATACATGCAAAAATATAAGCATAAGAAGTTTCAATGATTTTGATTAGTAAAGTTCCAAATCTCAATAATGACAGATATATAAAATCCTTCATATTGATATTCTGTGTCTGCCGTCATAGCTAAAACTCCGCCAATATGAAGCATTTTCACAAAAAATAACTACGTAATTAAATGAAAACATGACCACTAACTAGAGGTAATAAAATCGTTAAGCTCCTGTTTGGGCTCCATTAAAATTTTAATTCATTTATCTCCTTCTTCTTTTCAACCATATATTATTTAATAAAATAATATCACACATAAACCCAAAACTCTTCTTTTTTAATCACAAATTCTCCAAAAAATCATTATTCCGAAATACATTTTTTTCTAAAATTAAATTTTAGTGGAGCCCAAACAAGGGGCTAAATATAAATATCTATCATAAATTACAGTTTTTAATAAGTGAATCACTGCATTTTCACATGACTGAAAGTTAGATATGCAAATTTTTGAATATTTCTAGACTAGGACAAGGTTAGTGGGTGATTTACAATGAAGAAGAGTGAGAAAGGATGGCACCACTTACAAAAATTGTAGCGAAGAAAAGTTTTTGAACGACGTTGGTATTGGACCAGTCAACTTGTTGAAGCTCAAGTCCCTTTCACAGTGAAATCATTTCAGCAGTAGGGAAATTCAAGTTAACAACATGTATAACCTAAAGCATAGAGTAACTTAAAGCTCATTCAAGTTGGAGCTAACTAAAAGATAGTGACTCTGGAGCAGTAATTAGCTCCGAGAAACTAGAAACGATAAATCAAATTGAACTTCAAAAAATAGAAGAATGCGAAAAATTATGAGAACATCTGTGCTATCTTCAATTAAATCAACTTACATTATTTTCAAGTCAGGCAAAGTGCTAAGTTGTTCTGGAAGTGGACCAGCAATTCGACACTTTCTCAATGATCTGTTAAGCAGAAGTTAAAAAAAAAAAACAAACCACTAAAAAGTGATAGCAATTTATTTGCATATCCGAAATGTATCTCAAACAATAAACGAACAGATCCTCAAAAAAGGAGTTGTTTATAGCTCTAGTCATGCAGTATCTTACAATATGGACAAACTTGTCAAGTTCTCTAAGAAAGCCAGAGAAGAATCATCTCCAGTGAGATCTCCAATTCTCCTAAATGAAAGGAAAAAGAAAAAAATTGTGAACATCATAAACTCTAATGGACTATAGTAAAAAGAAGATTTATATTGAATTGGTCATGTGTGTGTGTAAAGTATAGACAAAACAAAATAGCAAGAGCAAATTTATATTATACACAAGGGCTATGTTTGGCGCGCCGCATTAGGCCATATAAAGAACTTAGCATAAAATTATAATGGATGGTACTAGATAGATTGTAGTACGGTGAATTAAGGTAGATAGTATTCTTTAATTTTTCAAAAAATAGTCATTTGAGTTATCAATTGTATGATAGAATAAGGAGGCTGGAGGTGGGTTTAGGCCAGTGAGAAAAACAGATAGTGACATTCTTTGAAATGGAAATTCAAATAATATTATCCACCATTATCCACCTTAATACCCTCTACATAGAAATATTCAATATAATTTATGCTAAATTTTCTATCTGATCTAATACAGTGCACTAAATGTGACCAAAGAGTAGAATGTGCATATACCACATAATGTCGTATAATAGTATGAACTGATAAGAATACCCTACATGATAAGCCTGAATATTATAAGAGTCCACTGGCTTGAGCAAAGTTCAGAAGGCATAGCTGGAGTGCTTCACACAACTCAATTTGTCTATGCATTTAAAATCTTATTATTGGCATTTGATAATTAAGTTGAAACTTTTGTGTAGTCTCTCTACTTGAAGCCCATTTTAGGTTATTTAAACTCTGATCAATGGAGTTCTTCGTGCTGCAGCCATGAATAAACATACAAATTACTACGAATCCTTACAAGTCTTCCAGCTTGGTTAGTGCACCATAGCTACTTGGAATTGGGCCATCGAGAGAAGTTCCTTGGAGTCTCCTATTAGCAATGAACAACCAAAGAGAAATGAAAAACTGCTGAGAGATGTTCTCCAGAAAGGAAAAATAGAAAAATTAAAAGATCCCATGAGAACCTAGTAATGTATTAGAAAGGAAATTGAACAAAGAAAGTTAATGCTTACAGGTCTTTGAGATCTGTAAAAGTTCCAAAGAACTCAGGAAGATTTCCGGTAAAACGATTATCAGAGGCCCACCTGGAACATGGAAACAATATCCTTGTTAATTTACCTGAATTGAGCATCAGCTCTTTGAATATATATGGATAAATACGAATCTATTTTGATGAACTAAAAAGAAAAATACAATGTCTGGAGCAACTTCAAGTTCGAGAGTTCTTGTGGTATTGGTCCACTCAGTCCACTGCTATCAATGTACCTGAATGTTTAACAATGGATATATATCAATTCAGAGTAAATGGAAAGGTTTACAGTCACTTAACAACAAAGAAAATCTTACACGCATTATTTAGCAGTTTTTTTTAATTTTTTGGATTAAATGTAGCCTGTATCTTCTTTCTCCATATATGTTCTTTCAAAGGAAAAAATGAAGTTCAAGTTAAAAAATTCAAGATCCTTACAGCTGAGTTAAGGAGGTTAAATTCCCAAGCTGCGGGGGCAAGGTTCCCCAGAAATTGTTTGAGCTTAAACTTCTGCATAGCAAGAAAAGAACTATATGAACTAAAAATAAGGGGAATGGTTCGGGAACAATTTGATACGCAATGGAAATGGAATTCAAGAAGTTAGAAAATTGCTCACAAGGAGAGCAACTTGGTTAAATTGCCAAGCTCTACAGGCACTGGACCTGTGATGTTGTTAATGCCAAGACTCCTGCAATATCAATAAGTCAATATTAAAGCATGCTGATTCCAAAAGACCACAATGAACATAACTTACATTGCTTAACACACTTTCATAATTTTATAGTAAATTATGAGAAAGTTTTGATGATACTAACAAGTATTTCATTTTCGACAACAGCCCAATTTCTGGTGGAATGGAACCGTTTATTACATTCTGACCCAAATTCCTGAAGCATAACACATAATCCATCAAATTAATTAATTTGGCATAAGAAAGATAAGTAAATGCTTAACGATCTACAATTACTCACAAGTCCATAAGTTCTGTCAGCACAAACAGTTCTTGAGGAATTTCACCAGACACATCCAAAGCATATATTTTTCTGAATCATACACAATCAAAATATATTTTATCCAAAGAAATTATTAGAGGAGAAATTAATAAAACGAGTACAATTAACTGACAAGTGGGTAATATGGCAAACAGTATCTGAACAATCACACGCAATTCTTGGGTTTGCAGCATCAGGAGCCCAAGTAGCATTTTGGATGCAGGGGTCAACACTTAAATTCAACTTGCTTCTTAATTTCCAATGATCAATAATCTTGTTAATTGCATCCACTAAACAAGAAGCAATAGAAAACAATTATCAGTAGCCCAAAAACAATTTATCATGAAATAATTTATAATCGTAGCTAGAGAGACAAAAACACCTTCACGGGGTTCAGTTTTTGGTTGGGCAGCAACAATTTCAAGAATCCATAAACAAAAGAACGATAAACTCAAAAATCCCATTACAAATCACAAATTCACACACACTGAAACACAATCTTGCACACTGAAATTGATGGAAGACAAGGCCAGTTAAAAACTGGTGAGGTTTTGGGTAGTTAGGAAAATTACAACAGAATGTGTCCATTGAAAATGAATTACTGGATTTTTTTTGCTGCAGTCAAGTTGACGCGTTTATCAACCAAGAAGAATCTACGAAACATAGATATTATTTGTTTATTTATTATTTCCTTAGACCGTTCAGTTACCCGCCAAAAGAAATGCTGGTGCACACTTACTCGGGCATATGTTTAAGCTTAAAGAATAGAAAAATACTATGCATTTCCAGTCTATGTAGATGTAAATGATTGATTAAATGATAGGTGAAATTAAATGATTTATTTAATTTCACCTATCATTTAATACCACATTAACGCCACATAAATTGGGGATGAGGATGAATAGCATTTCTCTAAAGAATAATGTTATTTTATCATTACGTTGATAAATCAATCGATGATGTGACAATTTTTGTGGAATAATGAGATTAAACAATTCAATTTGTAAGAAAAATACGAAGAAATGTAAGAGATAATGAGTTAATAATTAATTTTAATTACATTCATCACTTTTATCAAAATCTAGTAAAAAAAAATTGATTTTTAATAAAACAAAATAGGGACGTATGTATGTATGTATGTATGTATGTATGTATGTATGTATGTGTGTGTGTGTATGCACACACACTTACCTTATGTTAAGCATCATTGACATGGCATATGAATTAATTGATGGATAAAGATAACGTGTATGCGAATTTACTTATCACATTGGCATCAGAATATAATTTTATCAGTCTTCTAAAAAGTGCACTTAGATGCCACCTTAATGTAGATTAATTTTGTTGTCTAACTACACTTTAGGCTGCTTTTACTCATAGCCAAATGGAATAATTGACCATATAAAGGGGGTGATTAGGTCTAGCTAGAGGATTTGTCTCATGGCTGTTCTAACCCGCCAATTGGGAGGCCAATGGGACATGTTAGGGTGTAAGCCAATGAAATAAAAGATTGGTAAAAGACGAATTTGTTATAGGTATAAAATTCTTATTAAGTATAAATGGAAAGTTAATAATCACTCATGAGGTCATAATTATAGGAAAAGACACTTCTATTATTAATACAATAAAATTGGTAATCGTTGCACTCTTTATTACCCTATCTACCTGTTTCGCGTGGTAGTCTCTAATAATTAAAAAAGAAATTCAGAAGATTGTATAAGGGACAAACCTCTTGCGACAAAGTCCCACAAAGTGGGTACTTTATTGATGAGAGTTACAATTGAAAATAAACAGAATGCTTCTATGGTGTGCAAGCACACGAGTACTGAAAATGAATAATTAAAGTTAATCTAAGAAATTAAAATTACATATTCTCTATTTGAGAGTATTTGATTCGAGATCTTTTTCTCTATGTCTTTTCTTCTTTTTATATTCTTATGATGATTTTTTCGTGACAAATCGCTTGAAAACTGTTTGATTGCTTTCTAACTATCCATTTTCTTCATGGTGGCTAATTTATCATGGAATTGCCATCTCTAACTACTGCCATTACTCTTGTCGTTCAACCGTCTTCAAATGGGCTCTTTAAATCGTGGAATGTGATAATCTGTTCGATAACTGTTTCAATAAATTTTATTCTGAATAACCATAATATCTCATGTGTTAAGATTATGAGCTACTCGAAGGCTTGGGTGAGAAACGAGGTTATCGCTCTGGGCGACGCTCAAATTATGAACGTCTTGCAAGCTTGGACGATAATATTAATGTGTTCGTGGGCTTCTTCTACATTTACCAATAATCTTCTTTGGACCTTCATCCTGGACTTCCCAATTGGGTCTCACTCTTAGTGTGTCAACACTACCAATCACAAATCACTAATTTAACAAGTGGTGCACAAATCAAGATCGAACATTATAACAAGACGCAACTTCAGCAATTTTACCTGCACACCTTCTGCATATAAGAGAATCACTTCCCCATTTTTGAAGACAAGAAGGTATAGGCCCGATTAGGGTCGTAGAAACTCGTTCTGGTCGCCTAATCACATTTTGTGCTTTTGATGCTAATATACATTAGTAACAATTCTTTTCAATGTGATTTAAACATTTAGGGATCACAATCATCGAATAAATTTTCATCTTCCTAAATATTTTTCTTACATAGAAGTGATTTTTTTTTTTTTTTTTACCATGATATAAAATTGGTTTCGAATTTTTTTCTATATGAATGGTAAATCAGTAAAAACATATTGAGATCAAATGAAATTTCGGTCAATATGGTAAATGGGTCATTTTCAAAGATTCATACTTCATATACAACATGACAACGTTGAAAGTGAATGCTTAATAGTCTCATGTTACTCTCACTAAAGCTTTACAAGAAGATTCGTTAGTTTCATTCATATCGAGGCCGTAAAATTTGAAAGTTCATATTATAACACATTGAACTGAACATAACAATTGATAAATATTTGTCGTTAATCATATGCGTCGTACTAATTTCGAATTTCGTAAGGTTTTGCTTCTGTTCTTGTTTTCAGGGCCTCTGATCCCTTTATATTTTTGGTAGTTGAGGTTGGTTCAAATCAAAAAATCTAGTTTAAATCCTAATTCGCCAAGAATAGGTTTTTCTTGCGCATTCGGTAAAATATTGAGTTTTATAGAAACAGATGCCGTAAACTATCTATTATATTTTCTATCGCCGCATCTTACCTAACAAACATGTTTTTAAAATGAACAATTTTAAAGATCCATAAAACTTTATTCACCTTTACTTCGAACAAAAAAAAAAAAAAAAAAATTAACTCAGTATAGTAAAATTTATTTATGGATTGATAGTTTTTCTATTCAAATTAAGTTGGGCAATAGGAAAGAGTCAAACGTGTATCAGGGTCATATAAACAACCAAAAATCAAATTTGACTGATTTTGGATCTTCTCAACTGGCTGCCGGCCAACCCAAGTGAAGAAAATCCCCAGTAGATACTCGTCAAAATTAATTCGTACTATAAAAACAAATATATATTCAAAAATAATTTTTTTAAATATATAAGATTAGTTAATCCATAAAGATAGTGATTTGTGCAATATTTTAATAATTAAAAATGACATCTCGTACATTAAAAGTCTAAAAAAATGATAGTCTATGAGTTGGACGAGTTTAGTTTTCAACGGACAATAATTTGAAGGCATGTGAGTTGAATCGCATGGCACTATTTGTTCGACGATAATTTAAAGGGTAAATGAGAGTAGGGCTGGGTATGGTCCGATTCTCTTTAGAATCGAAATTTTCGGATATTTAGTAAATGGAATCGTCGAGTCTAAATATAATTATAAAACCGTTCAAACTCGGTTCCATTCGATTCAGTTCTATTTTATTCAGTTTCAGGGTTCCGTACAATAATTAAATTTTTTTTATATTACAGCAACGTTACATTAATTCGACTATGACATATTCAATTTTAACTCTTACAAAATAATGTAATCCAATCTCATGATATCTTTTGCATCTCTCTTTGTTGAGTTCTTTATAGATTTGACTATTAAAATCATAAGAAGACGAAGATAGTTAGTTCATAATAATATAACGTTGGAAACGACACTACAATTGAATAAGAGATTTGAGTAAAACTTATGTCAATTTGATTAAGTTGGGTTTGGTTGGAAATTAGAAATAGTAAAATTATATTTTGGATTTTGACTAAATTAATTAGTTAGCAATTTATTTTAAAAAATAAAATAATTTGACTTATTTAAGATAAAAAAATTTTAAAAAAATTGGGAAATTCGGTCCTTATTAGATTTTTTGATTCTGGGTCTAGAACCGATAATCGAACTAAACTCGTCGGTTCTCGATTCAGATACCCGTTCGGGTATTTAACTTAAAAAGAACTGCTTTATTCGGTTTAGTTCGATTCAGGTCCGATTCGATTCGAGAGTTTTGTCCAACCTTAAATGAGAGTTTAATTTCCATATCTTAGGGTTTTTTGAAAAGTTAAAAGTTATTTTTGATTCTAATAAATTATTTTTGAACATATTTTGAGAAGTTTCTGAGAGTATTTCGTCTGTTTATTTATTATTATTTTTTTAGAGAATTCATAAAATTATTCTACAAGAAATATAAGAAAAAACGGAAACCTGCCAAGTCCTCAATTACATTGCATTACTTACTCATTATAGTTTAATATATTAAAATTTACATATTGATGATTATGATATTTCGACAACAATGCAATCAATGCCAAGTCCCTTGAATGTGAAATGAAGCGAAAATATTTTTATTACCTTTCAAAAATACTTTAAAAAAGTATGGCATTTCATTATCAATACTAGTTGTTGGTTTGGTAGAGTTTGAAGTATGAGAAAGTGTCAAATTAATAGGCCATACATCTAAATCCAATAGGTGATGTGGACACTATACCAATAGATTAGTTTAACAAGGTATTGTCACTTGCAAAAGTTTACTTCCAAAACATACAAAATAAGAGTCAACAAGTAACTACTTTGATTTATTATCAAAAAAGAAGATATTAATTATTTTTCTCAATAATTTAAGATTAATGTAATTAAACTTTTCTTTTTTTGTTTTGGTTACTATACTGAATTTAATGAAGATTTATGACAATTTCGATCTACCCTCATATTCTATCGAAATTGCATACTTTTATAAACAACTAGTTTTATGTCCGTGCAATACACGGCATGTGTTATTTTTTAGGTAATGTTAACGTGTTTAATTAAAATAATGTTATAATTTTTTGGAAGCTATTAATTTTTTTTTTTTTTTTTTATAATCGTGGATGTCCGGGCCAGCTTGCCCGCACCTCGACTAATTCCACGGGGCCCTGAAGTTTACGGCTGGGTACTCACCTCAGTGGCCCTGAGGGGACTCGAACTGGTGACTATTGGAGAGCAAACCCAAGACCTGACCAATTGAACAACCCTCAGGGTTCTATTAATTTTCTT